ATTTCTCGAATGAAATACAAGAGTAAATATGAAGTAATTTTATTTTTAACATTTCCTTTTGAATTAAGAAATTAAGTCTTATAGAACAATAAAACTGGATTTATTAGCTACATTTTGATGCCAAGTTTATTGAGATACATTGATAGTAAAATAATTTACACAAATTTTGAATGTAACTATAAAAAGTCATGACATTCACATTTTGGCCCCCTTCTGTGAACATGAAGTTAAATAGCTACACATCCATTGAGGCCACTGTAAAAGTACTAATGTGTATCTTTCTGTTTTGGAGGAAACGTTCAAACCCATACTCACATCTAGGTCATTGGGACGATGTCTACTAGATTGTCATGTATCATGTAAGGATCGTATCCTGAGTTACTTAATTCTTTCACTTTGGGAATCATGAAGTTAAATAGCTACACATCCATTGAGGCCACTTTAATAGTACTAATGTGTATCTTGCTGTTTTGGAGGAAACATTCAAACCCATACTCACATCTCGGTCATTGGGACGATCTCTACTAGATTGTCATGTATCATGTAAGGATCTTATCCTGATTTACTTAATTCTTTCACTTTGGGCATCTTTTTCTGTGCATATCACAGGGTTTTAGTGAGTTGTGTTCAAAATTTTATTAAACTACTTTGTTATCCTGATATATGAATAAATTTGACATAAAAATATAGCTAATAATCCAAGTTTTAATAGTGTATGTTTTAAGTTCATAATTTTATATGGCAATTAAAAAAATTACTGAATTTCCCCTAGTATGAAAATTGTGATATTTTCTCTCTAGGCATCCCCTCTTCTCTAATTTATTTACCACCTCTTCAAGAAGTACTAAATTTAACAAAAGTTACTCATTATAATCTCATCATCACTCAAGCAAAGCATAATGTTTATAGCCTTCAATTTTATTTAATTAGAGAGCTACCAAATAGAAAATAAGACCCCTCTTGCCATGCCTACCTGTCACATCCTCTCTTTCAGAAATTGTCAATATTTATAACCAGTAGGAAGCCAAGATTTTAATCTATCAAATAACATATTATATTGCACTGTTTTCTGCACAGAGAATTGTATATTTCACTTCCAGTTCATACTTTATTCCCACAGGAATCACATCAACGAGCTTAGCTGAATTTATAATGGCTCTTATCGCATAGTTAGAAAGCCAGAAAAATTTTGATAGTTATGGGACATTGTTTGCTTTTTGCATGTTGTTATTTTGTGTTCTTTGGTGCATTATTTAATTTAAAAAAAATTACTTAGTGCAGTAGTACCATTAGAATAAAAAGATAGGATTATATGACATTGACAGTCAACAGCACAAAAAAGAAGACCTAGATAAGTACTTTATTTCGTGTTTTTTATGTGTATTCTTGATTTATTGTTGTAAAAGTAACTAAAATGTAAAAATAAGAAACTTTTTAGGTTAGAATAGGTAAAATAAAGAATAATAATAAAGTTTTTTTCCTGAGGAATGCTCTCAAGCAACTCGCACTTAGTTTGTGCATTATGTAATTCGATAGGGTAACATGAGCTGCACATTCACCAAGTGATTTACAAATTTTATGGTTGGAGTATCAGTTAGTTATGGTTCAAAGGGCAATAAAGCAATAAAGTTTAAGTATAAGCAGATGTATATTGTAATGAGTTTAACCATATAACCCCAGTACCATTTCTAAATGCCTTTCTGAGCATGTCACAAAGTGTTACTGAAATCAATTCAAAATTTAATTAAACCACTTTACTAGCAATGTATTTTAATGAACTTAGCATTATCAAGAATGTTATGATCCAAAGCCTTATATTATTTAAGTTTTTATTCCTTTATTTCAAAAGAAACTGCTAAAAGAATAATTAAAAGCATCACATTTACTCTCACTTGAAGTGTATGTGACTATAGCAACTGAACTTTAGACTTTGTTATAAAAGAAAAAACTATTGTTAAAAACATCTTTCTTGCTGGTAATAAACTATGTTTACACAGAGTTCATTTAGTGACTGTTTTAACACTTTCAAAACCGGTTCACTCGTGAAAGGCCATGTCATTTCATTTACTCGCATTCAAAATTTTATTGAACTACTATTTCATGAATTTATGTCAATAAGTTTGGTATCAAACTTTAGAATATAATTCAAATTTTAGTACTATATATTAGTCAATTTCTTAATTTAAAAGCAAATATTAAAAAAGCACAGATAAACATCAATGTTTGTGTGTCACATGATATGTTGAATGCAGCACTGGTTCAAATTAGATGTTTGTGAAGTCAAATACTAAGTCTATTGTTTCGAACAAATTAGAAACTCAAATTACTGATATTGACAAGCTAGAATATAAAATAAAAGGCTCATAACTTTTCAATTTGTTAAGATATTGCTCATGTAATAAACACAGTGGCACCCCGCCTACCTCTTTCCATTTTTGGAAATGCTCCCTTATATATACTTACTTCTCTATATGACATGAATAACCAATAGAAAGCTCAGAATGTCTCCCTGGTGGCTTTCTCAGCCATTTTAATGGACTTGGCACCATTTCTTCACCATTTCTTTCTTTTGAACCAATATTTCAATGAGGTAGGGTTTGTCTTGAGTTTGCTCAAAATTTCATATTTTTTGAGACTATAATACATCTTAGTTACTAAGCTTGATAAATTATAGTGGAATTCTATGGTACTAATGTAGTAATTTATGATTTTTTAGTTATTCAAATGTATATATATAAATCTAAAAAAAAACTTTTGTTTCATATCCTCCATGTGCAATTTTTTTTAAAGGCTTAGCAACCTACATCAAGCAGCAACCAAGTACAAAAGTCATAACTAGCAGAGATAATTGTTTGCTTTACTTCTTTATTTACTGTTCTATGTTTTAGGAAAAAATAACTTTAAGAATTTATTTCAAAATATCAATAATCTATATACATATATAATGTATAATAATTGAAATGTGACTGTATTTTACAAGATACTGGTCAACTAAAACACAGCCTAGACAAGTTACTTTGTACAGACCAGAAGTCACCTTTATGTTATTTGATACGGTAACATGAGTGCACGAGAGCCGCATCGTTGTAGCTTCTATATTGTTAGCCAGACATAGGTGAAAGGTCAATATAAAAAAAAAATAACAAATATATATATATAAATGTATAATCTTAATGTATAAATGTATAATTTAAGCTATTTTATCTAAACATTTATGTTTTCGTGTTATAATTTGTGTTCATTCTAGAATGAAAGATGATAATTTATGTTTATTTCCTAATTTTTTATGGTGGTTGCGAGATCAGTCAGATTTGCCGAACCTGTACAGAGATTAATTACTGAAAGTAACAGATAAAATATAAAAATTTTTCTTAAGAAACGTTTGATAACTATTTGGACATTATAAAGATTTTGCATCTGAAATTTCAAAATTTTCTGATGCATAAAAATATTTTAAATGTTAAGATGAATATTACTTCGCATGATAAATAGGCAACATGCGAAAAGAAAAAAAAAGACATGAGAAAAACATTGCTTTATAAACCTTAAGACTTAATAAAAAAATTGATATTTTGCATATGAAAGCATTGTAATGTTTACTGATAATCTGCCAAATTTTGTTAACAATCACATTCTAATTTAAAAGTTATAGCATGAAAACTATAACAAGCACGAAATGGTTACAAGTTTGGTCTCAGGGAGCGAGCCCATGCTGAAAGAGTTAAGTCATCCTTCATGGTTGTTTATTCTTACACAAAACATATGTTATAGATTTACTTTCATTGCCTTTATGATGAGGCCAAATTTATTCTTGAGAGCGGTGTCGATTGCATTTGGCAATTGTTTCTCACCTTATATGTATTAGTTTGATAAACATTTAGATTGCATTTAGGTTTTACTTTTATATTTCAGTTAATTATATATTATTTATATTTGAAAGGTTTAATTATTTTTTTAAATTATTCTCTACTTTGAATCACTAAAACAGCTTTGAGACACCTATGAATGCAAAAAATATTATGCTGGAGAGGCTAAACCTAACAGCTGAAATTAGTTTTGTTTTTGGAATGAAATATGACGGGAGCAATGTTACCTACTCTCTGATAGAGTAGCTAGGTACCAAAGGGTTACAGCTATTTAGGATAAAAAAAGTGTAGTTTCATGTTACACTTTGAAGTCATTCTAGAAAGAAAAAAGTAATTATATATATATTGTGATTAGGAGGTTTTACAGATTATGCAAATGAAATTTCAGATTTTTCAGATGAAGAAAAGTATTTTTAATCTTAACATGATAATTGCTTTGCACTCAGAGCAGTCAACGCTTTGACTCCACATCTTCATGGAGAAATGTTTAGTGAAAATGCACCATTAAAAATTCTGATTTTTTGTCCACAAATAACTTAATAATTACTGAAAGCTTGTGAAATTTCGTGAAGATATACAAAACATATTAGAAGTTATAGTGTGAAAATTATAAAGGTTATTTTCAGGTCATAAACTTGGTTAATTCGACCGAGCCTGTAGTGGGAGAGTTAACATCACTTTTGAAGAGTTTGGGCTTTCTGTCTGTACTAATTCTGTTATCAACAGTGCTAATTTTACTACTATTTTTTTAATTATCCATACAACTCCTGAATACAAGAAATTAGCTTTAGCATAACACATAAAGCAAGCTTCACTAGCCAAAATTTTAATTTTTACAGGTTTGCCATGTGGCATCTCCATCCTAGAAGCCATGAATAAATTTACTGCACAAGTGCTGGGCAGATTATAACTTTCTGTACTTTTATAGTTATAATGTTAGTGTAGAACTGGCTCATTGGATAGATGTCGCCTAATCACAATTAAAATTATCAATATGTGGCTGTACTCTGGTGTTGTTCATTTCACTCCCTGTTTTCATAATTATTTCCAAGACTATATAATTGTGAACAAAAAAAGTGAATTTTGGTACAAGTGTTTGAGGTGTTAAATGTATTATTATTATTTTCTTATCAGTGGAAAATGAAGAGCTAGAACATGAAGATGCAGCTGAGTTAGAGCGGTGGGAAAGAGAACAGATCAGGAAAGGTGTGGGGATTACTCAGGTAATTACAAAATTAACTCTGTACATACAAGATTGTTGTAATGAATCACTCTCAAATACAGATATTGCATGCAGCCTTCAGAATATTTTTATATTATGGTTTTTTATGTTATAAACAGGGGTTGTCAAATATCTGATTTTAGGAGCCAGAATAGTAACTTAATCCAACCTCGTACAAATTTTAAGTTTTATAAGTTTTGGATTTTAGACACAAACGAAATACATGCTGCTTTTATGTAATTTAACGTTCAGAATAGATTGAAGGTGAACCAATCATGCAGCCTTTCTGTGCTATACAAAATTAAGTTTCTTTGCCAATTTTCTCAGCCATGTCTTCACAGCAAAATACCTACTTGCATGTACTCATGTATCTAGTCAAAAGAAGAGATCTAAAAGTCCTTGTAGAATTGTGTTAATGAGGACTTTCTTAAGTATTTTGATAATTATTGGAAATTCAAATTATGTACAAGTACTTTCTGTGATGTTTAATTATATTGCAAAACATTACAGTTCATGCAAAAAAGACCCCTTTTTTTAATGAAAAAATTCACTAAAAATTCCCAGCTGGCACCTGGGGTTCAGCAAAAACCACTGTTTATAAAACACTTTACAGTTTCTTCTGAAATTCCTATGACATTGATTGAAGAGAGGGAATTTGCACAAGAGTGAATAAAACATGTAATTGATTGTTGAAATATACTTTTTTTCTACTTAGCTGTCCTTATTATTTGTATGTTGGACTTGCAGGACTAGTGTGTTTTTGTTATACAGATGTTTCTGCATTTATAGAAATTTATGTATGGAATAGCTCTGCCTTTTCATGAACAAATACATTTTTGGAATTTTCTTGAAAGTAAGACCCAGGATATGTAATCCTTTCAGAGTCTTTTTATTTTCATATTTTAGTAAGAAAATTCAGTCACATTTTTTACAATAAATGTGTTTTATACTGCAGGGTGTTAACCCACGAGAAGTTGGTGATTCAGTTCTTTTACATGCTGATATCCATTTGGCAAGTGAAAATGAAGATTCCAGAGGTTCATCTCACAGCTTCAGAAATGGACGTTTGGAACCACCACGAGGGATGGATGTCCCTCCAACTTTCAAGAACAAAGAAACTATAACCACTGAAGATGTAAAGGCTCGGCTCCAAGACAGGTATAGTGAAAAAAAATTCTTAAAGTATAGTTCAACATGTATAAAGAAAATCAAAGGTGAATCCATTTAAATCTTTTGCACTACAGTTGTGGATTTTTTATCACCTTTGCAACTGTTGTCTGAGGCCTATCATAGATCCCCCTGCTCATATTTCATCTATTAACTTCCACTTTGGTCAGATTATATGGCTTCTGCTTTCTTCTTGGTATCTTGGTTGGTTTGTTGTTGGGATCTTTTAGAGAGAGATGCCTTACTGGAAGGAGTTCACTTTCCTACATTGGCCCTTAGAGATCTCAGAGAAGCTGTTTTTCTTATACAGTCTATTTTTGTGGAAATTCCAGAATCCATGGAATCTCGAGTAGATGTGGTCCATTTACATTCTTCACTTTCTAAACTGGCTTCTCAACTGTCCCAAAGTTCCACAGGATTGTGTACTGCTTCTCCCATTAGAGTTTCCAGACCTCCTGCTTCAGTACCACAATCCATTGGAACATAAGGGCGATTTCGACCTTACCAGATTCCTTCTGCAGGTTGGAGCACCTATTTCAGCATCATTGACTACCTTATAGTGTCAGGCCTGGTGAGATCTCGTTTTAGAGGGTTCATGTGAATATTGGAGATACTAATCACAGATCAGTAGGTCATTCAAGTTCTCAGGAACAGAATGGTCATTCAGTTCATGTCTCCTCCTCTCCTGTCTATCATACTAGTTGGCTTTCCTCTCCCAAAGACCCTCTTACTTCCATCTGTCAAGCACAAGCCATCCAGGACCTTCTGCACAAAGAGACAATAGAGTGCATCACCTACTCCCTCAAGGGTTTTTAGTCTCAGCTGTTTGTAGTACTGAAAAAGATGGGTGATTGGTGACTTGTCATTGACCTTTCTTTTCACTTCCTCCAGCCTTCTCAGTGTACAAGAGTTGTTTCTTGCCCTTCAGTGGCTCTTTTCCCCTGGTAAAATTCAACTTCGCAGATGCCTACCTTTATATCCTGACCATTGGGACTTTCATCTGCTCCAGGCGTTTTTTGCCAGATAGTCAGATCTTTTTCACATCATCTTTACTCTCTCTGCATTCACACTCACCATTACAGGGATGACTGGCTTTTTCTGGATGTTTCACAAAGGTTTGACACCTTTGTCTGTTGCCTTTTTTGAGGCTACCTTATCAGCTACTTTTCGTTTTTCTAAGAGAATAAAAGTTTTTGAGGCCCCAGTTTTGTCATTACTTTTAAAATCATTTCAGTTTATCTGTCCTCATTGCCCTTTCCAGATTCCTAACTGGAATATCATAGTGGCTCTCCATAGATTATCGTGTCCACTTTTTCAACCTTTGGGGTCATGTTTCACTATATCACCATTCACTCAAAACATATTTTCTTCTGTTATTGACTAGTGGGCATTGACTTTCAGTTGTGTTTGTGCTTCATGTTCTCAGGACACTGTACCAATCCAACTACATTTTGTTGTATCAGTACATGTCCTTTCTACTTAAAACTGCAGCAGCTAGGGAAGGAGATAAGGCTTTCCCTCCTATTCATTTTCCCTCCATTTCCCATTTACATGACCATTCGGATCCAGATCATCTTTTATGCCCTTTTCAGGATCTCTGATGTTATGTGGTGACCACTGAAGCATTTAGGGGCACACTTCACTGGTTATTTATCCACTGAGATCCTTTGGTATTACACGACTTATCCCTGTCACTTTGATAAGTTGGTTTCTTCAATTGGTTCGGTTAACTCACTCTGGTCTTTCATTGAAGGAGTAGAGACTTTATAGGGTCTCATCTCATCAAGTTCAACATATATCAATGTCCCTAGCAGTTTGCTGGATCTCAGCTGGTGATTGAATAGGGACAACACAGCAGTAGGTGTCCCTCTACCACCTCCAAAGGGTGGACTTTGGACAGTGGAGGAAGCTTCTTTTCACATCAGTCTCTTAGAACTTTTCAAAGGGGCTATGACTCAGGGTCTCGAGTTATTGCAAAAGAAGGTGTTAATGCTTCATACTCTTATACTCTTTGTGAACCAACCCTTATTTTTTTGCTTGCAACTATCCTTTTCTTCCATAAGAAATATGTTTACCTTGAATATTTAGAAATTTATCTTTGGAAACAGACTTACCTCCTCTTACACAAAAGGCTAACTCGATTGTTGACTGCCCTATAAGTATTGCTAAAAGAATTTTAGTAATCAGCATACCAGTCTTTATACCTCACCAGTTTCTCGCCATTTCTGTACTCTCCACCAAAAGTATTGTGCCACCTGTAATGGTGCAACTAGCTCCCTCTGCTATTCCTGCTCAATCCTCACTTTCTTGATTGGTATGACACAGTTTAGGTGTGTGTTTAATTTTCGAGTGTGACTACTGTTTTTGATTGTGCTTATCACTTGTCTTCAGTTGTTTCTACAATTTTGCATTCAACTAAATTCTCGTTTCCAATTTTTACATTTTTAACATGAATTCAAGACTTAATGTGGTGAGCAATGATATTCCCATCATAGATGACAACACACGTGGCATGACTTCACAGGATTGACTTTATCTGCTGAGAAAGTTCAAGCCTTGGTTTATAGGAAGTTAGAGTCTTACATTCAGCTGGCAATTTCTTCTTCTCTTTCACCTGACCGTATTTCTGAGAATGCCTACAATCACAAGGAAGAAAATTTGGATATTTCACATTCCACTCCCTTTGTATAACTTGTCAATCAGGTAGGTGAAGTTTTAAGTGTTTCCCCCATATCCTATGATTCCTCCCCTGCCTTACTGGGTGAAAATCCACCTTCTGATTATTATATTTTTCATCCTTTTCTCAACAATAGTGTTTTCTTTCAGAGATTTTCTGATCAACTACAGTCGGATATGGGCATGCCCCATCCCCCTCATTTGTTGGATCAATATGCCTCAGCTTATAATCATGCCTCAGATCCCTTTATGGATTCTCAACATTTATATCTTCTCATTCCCCTATGTTCCACTTCTCACCTGTGTTGGTATTTCATAACAGATCTATAGGTTCTGTTGGTTGGTTTCTGCCTTTGGTTCTGGTCCCCAACCTCCTTTCCCTTTCCTCCTGCTTGGGATCCTTCCTCTCACAGTTGTCTTATTGAGGTGTTCAAGACCTCCTACATAAAGGAGCTATTGAGCGGGTTGTTTCTACTCTTCCAGGCTTTTATTCCCATCTCTTTGTCCCCAAAAGGACAGGCAATTGGAGACCAATTATATGTCTGTCTTAGTTGAATTCCTTTCTGGAGCCCCCTCGTTTCACCATGGAGTCCTCTCTCTCACTTCAGTGAGTATTGATGTGGTAGATGCCTATCTTCACATTCCCATTCCTCCAGAGTTGCATCATTTTCTTTGGTTCATCTATGAGGGTCAAGTGTTCCAGTTTAGGGCACTGCTGTTCAGTCTCTCTTCAGCTCCTGATGTGTTTTGTCAGGTGGTTTGCTCATTTGCTCATCACCTTCACCTACTGGATCTTCATACTCATCATTATATGGACAACTGTTTCCTACTTGCCTAATCCTGTTCTCAATCAGTGAATCATATGTTTGCTTCTACAGGAAGCAGCATGAGTGGGTTTTCTGATGAAGTTGGTAATGTTTATTCTTACCCCTACTCAGTACCTGGTTCATTTGGGGGTATTCTTATATTCTCACACCTCAATTTGGCTTAGCCTTCTCCTCTTCATCTCAGGGATATTGAATGAGGAGTCACAAAGGCCTTTACCTCTCTTTCTCTCATGGTAGTTCTATCTCTTTTGGGGATGTAGGCTTCCTTGGAAGCTCTCATTTCCATTGGTCAAGCTGTTACCTTTCCTTCCGTGATCAGGAATCAGACCATAGTGAGGGTTCCCATTCCTCCATCTCATCCAGAATTACATCTGTTCATGGATGCATCTTTGGTGGGTCTATCCTCAACTCTCAAGAAATTTCTGGTCTGAGATGTATTGGGGTTTGACCCATTTTCTTCCAGTTCTGTGGGGGAGGGTGGTTATGGTCCACTCTGACGATTCCACTGTTGTCAGTTATATCACCAAGCAAGGTGGAATCAAATCCAGATCTCTGTGTTTTTGGACTCTATCTTCTTTTCTCGGCCCATGATCACAACATGGTAGTGCTAGCTTGCCATGTTCCTGGAGCCATGAATCTTGTTGCCAATCATATATCTCATCCAACCAGCCTCTTCATCCACAGGTTTTTTGGTGGGTGTGTTCTCAACTGGGGACACCACTTATCTTTGCCTTTGTCACACACTGGAACACCAAACTTCCTTCCTTTTGGTTTTCCATTCCACAACCTTCAGCTGTGGGTGTTGATGCATTCAGTCATGATTGGATGGGTCTTCATATCTGTGCTTAATCTCCAATCTAACTTCTATCCAAATTTCTATCCCTCATCCAGACCACTCCTTGTCTCACCCTGCTGGTTGCTCCATATTGGCCTGCACAGCCTTGGTTCCCTCTGCTTTGGCCTATACTTGTGCAACATCCTCTGCCCTAATCTCTGTCTTGGTCTCTCTTCTGTCAATCTCAGTTGGACATATTTCATCCCAATGTCACCAAACTCTGTCTTCACGCTTGGTTTATGTCCGGTCCCTTGCCTCAGCCTAGGGACTAACTCCTCATGTAGCGTCTTTCCTATTCTGAACCATCAGACCTTCATCCTTGACCATTTATCAAAGGTGTTGGTCTCTTCGTCATGGCTTCCTTCCCTTCCTTTCTTCTGTTCCTCAATTTTCCCAATTCTTCACCTGGTCTTGCTGGCTCTCCAAAATCAGTCAAGAAGCTACATTCTGGGGACATCTTGGTGGAAACATCTACACCAAAACATACTGAACTCCTCCTGAATTCTAAGGCCATGGGGGATATACCCATTGAGGTTACTCCCCATGCTATTTTGAATTCCTCACAAGGAGTTATTGTTGAGAGGGATTCAAAGAACATCACCAAGTCAGAGATTCTCGCTGGTTTCTCCTGTCAAGGAGTTTCTGCAGTGCAA